GCAGCTCCGCAGAAAATACTCCAAATTTCGATTATTTTGTCTGGAGAAGAGAAAATCAGCAGTAAGTATTAATAGCATAATTTGGACCGTCGTTTGAATACATCTAAAATTTAATGCAAATATTTGAATTTTTAGCTCCACAAATGTTGAGCTTGTGCAGTTCAATGTTTAGCATGGCTTGGTGTATCGCTTCATATCATCGCTGTATTCGACTATCTCAATTGGATAAAATTAACATTTCATGGATTGGAAGCATTGTGCAGTCGAGTTGGCATTTAACCATTACTGGTAAAATTCACTGAATCATATTTGCATTCCATTTGATTACTGATTTCATTTCCGTCTTTCTTATCTCCGATTCTAGTATCTCGAATTTTATCCATAGCGATAGTAGCGAGTTTGTTTCCAAAGCTGTACGTATACCCAACATATCTCAATACCACGGTTTTTGTGATATTTAAACCGAATTTAATCACTATGAAATTATACAATTTAAATTTTCTTTTTACAGGACATTGCTGTGTTTCTCAATTCATGCAATCCTAATGGGACTATGGGTATTCATTTTCGATCGGTCACCATTCTGTTCGAATTCATTGATTCACAGTTTGTTTTTCTCGCTCATTTTGGGCTTTGTGTTCATTTTCAATTATATTCTGCCAAAAGCACGACCGACTCGCTATCGTTACGCCACATTCTATTCGATTTGCTTTCTGGAAAATATCATTTGTGTGGTTCTCTATGTGACATTCTCGAAAGAAGAAGACAAACAAGAAGACTATTTCCTTATCCTGTGCATTATGTCAATCGTTCCATTCATTGTGGGTGTATTTTTCATGGTACTCTACTATTTATGGTTTCACCCAAATCTGGTGAGCCGTCGCATATACCACGATGAAGAAAGAGAAAAAGAAATGCAGATATTTTCATCGTCAGCTGATCCAGCCGCACCAGTATCGACAGCATAGTCTCACGTGCATTGGAGCCGGAGCATCCAACAGAAGACACATGTCTTGTATTGACATCATCATCATTCATATTCTGTATTATTCGACAGTATTTTTGATAGGAAAACTAATTGTAACGAACGAACAAACTTCTTGAAATGAAATAAAGACCATAGTACAAATGTCTGATATTTTTTGAATTCTTTGGTTACAAGTGAATTGAAGCCACTTATTCGGCAAGAATGGAAGATTAAACAAATTTATTACACCGTTTTTAAGGTGGTGATCATAACCTACAGTATTTCAAATGCAATTGATGTAATTTACTATGACAAATTCATTCAATAAGATTTCTCTATAAAAAGGATTGCAATTTGAGAGAATTTACAAAGACAAGGAGTTCATTTATAATTATTTACTGTTTTTATCCGGGCCGGTTTAGTTTTCTATGTACGTATAGATGACGATCAAACAAGCTCATCTTACCTGCTCAACGATATGCGTCATCCAGCCATTGCTTAATCACTTGTCTCTACAATTCATTTTATGCTACTACTGCTTGTCATTTTTGTGAGTGCATTGTCCTTTGTGTTCAGTTTTTTTTTCAAGTCATTAGTGAGAATAGTAACTACATTTGCTGTATGATTGTTGTGTACATTCTGCCCATCGTAAGAAATCCAGTGAAATTAATTGAAATTTAAATTGAGTTCAATTTTAGAAAAATGGATGGAAAAAAAAACGTGTAAAGCAAGCGCGTGCTTTATTACGGCTTACTAAGAAAGAAGCGAATCGTGCAGGGCGAGAAGCAGGGACGCTGGTGAACTTGTTTTATGAAAGTTTCAACAAAGAGCTACCGTATCCACTAACTGAGATTCCATTACAACCACATGGAGATTATCACATACCATTTAAAACGGCTAAATGGCAAGAATGGGTATGCAAATTTCCATCCTCGCCTAATACCATAGATTTTACATGTAAAATAACAACAAGAAACGACAAAAGTGACCTCTCGTAGCGGCACAGTTGAAACTAACGAAACAAACATAATTGAACATGTCATTTTCATGTTCAGTGTTGGTTCTGTTGTTTGCCGTATAGCCGGAGAGAGATGTTGCTTAGTGGCATTGAATGACATTCAACACTCATGCAAATCTCATATTTTTTTACATCTAAGTAGAATATAACTTGAAT